TTTATTAATTTTGTACTTAAAATATTCTAAAAGAAACATAACAATATTGTTTTATGTACTTTCACTTTTCACGTATAGTATAACTACTCTTTAAGATTAAGTACTGTGTATCTCAAAAACCAGAGCTAATAAAAATTTTTCATTGTTATTTTCGTTTTTATCACCCCAAAATTAGTAGAAATTGACTAATTTAGTGTAGGAAACATTCAAAAAATATTTTTTTGTTGTGTTGTGTATTCAACTGAAATCAGTCAACCCATCAACTGGTAGGTAGGTGTTAGGAATCACACGTTAAAAGGTAAGGCCTCGTTAGTCCTTAGCTCGCACAAGTTTCAACTTCTGAGGGTTGTCGTTCCTAGGAGTGCCATAGCTGGTTAACGGAAAAAACATATTTTAAACATATTTTCAAATTATATTTGATTACATTAGTTGAAGAATAATTACTTATTGTGGACTTGTGTACAATTTATATCCTAATCTTAGTTCTAAAAATGGAAATTCAGGAATTTTCAAGTTCACCATTCAAAAAGTAAGTTGAGAATGTGAAATATATAAATATTTTCATGAAAACATACACACAAGTGCTGAGACTAAATTTAAAACTGAAATTAAGACAGAGATAAGGACTAAGATGTCTAAATCGGTACTAAATATATTTGTGTTTGTTCAAAAATTTCCGTTTTGGAGATCATAGTAATAAAAAGATTAATGCCAATAATATGACAGAAATAGTAGAAATAATCTTAAGAAAATTTTGACGCCTACATTGACAGTGGAATCATAGTATAAGAGGAATTGAATGAGAGGTATACCTGTTTTTTTGATGGGCAGAAAAACAATCCATACTTCCACGTATATCCATTTTGAACAAATTTTCTGCACTGATTTATGATAAAATATGATCAAGTGTGTGTAAAAATGCCTATGTGTAATATTGCAACTACTTAAGTTTAAAAGTGATATTCTATTACTCTCCAGTTAAAATAACTCACCCCAGCTGCTATGTAAGCTTCCACGTGATAGGCTATTGCTAATGAAGAAGCAATTAGGTAAAGACCAGTCCATAAGGCACAAAAAACAAATTCTATTTTTAACCAGGGAATCTTGTAGAGTTTTTCAACAATGTGGAATAGGTACAGGGCAAGCAGAATGCCAGTGAACCAAAATCCTGTCATTGCTACAGTATTGAAAAAAGTTCCCCTTGATGATTCTGCATGGAATCCACTAGCTTCGATGCATATAAATCCAATTAAATTGACTACCTGGAAAATTTATTAATGTAATAGTTACAAAATTTTAAAAAAAGAACTTTTACTAATGGTACTTGAAATATGAACCAAAGTAACAAAAATCATCAAGAAATTATAACTAATATAATATTGAACAATTGAATGTCGCTGTTCTGTTTTTTGGGATTGTTGACTGTCATCCTTCATTAATAGGTTTTTCAATATTTCACCGACACAAGCAGTTAGCAACTTCAGGAGTGACATGATCTTCATATAGGATTTGATCAGTTTACCGGTGTTTTAAAGTATTTAACGAACTGGTTCACCTATTCGCTCGTACATCCTACCGATATGCCGAAGCTATCTTGTTACGGGGGGCAAATTTTATGGAATCATCTTACTTCTCAATTATTTACAATGGCGATGCATAGACAATAAATAAAAATGACCCCGGTAAAAATTTAGTTCTAACATTTAACATTGTTGTCGTTAGCTCTCAGTTCAATTTGTATATGAGTTACCTTCAATTGAAAATTGTTATACTATAGTAGATTTTTTCTACTTGAAAAAATTGAAATAAATAAATCAAATTTTGAAACAAACTATATTTTTAAAATTACAATGCAAACACTCAAAAGTTTGGGTAACAAATTTAAGTGTGTTATATGTTAGGGCCTAAGTAACTAAAACAATGAGGTGAGCTCATGAAATTTAGCAAAAGTGCAAAGCTGAAATAACCTCACAAATACAAAAAAAACAACTTAATTCCAGAAGTTCAAATATGAAGGTATTTTACTGAAAGTTAGTCGCAAGGAAACTTTTCTTATTGAAAATATAGTTTTTTATAAAAAATAAAACAACAAAACCAGACATACGAATAGAAATATCTCCAATAGAATCACATAAACATAACGCCTAATATATCTTTCAAACTGCAACATTCAAATAGTATAACTTATCTTTAACATACCAAATATTCATAATAGATCAACGTCCTAATCAATAAATAAACAAAAATATTTAATAAGTGCACTTAACAGTATGAACTAGTTGAATATTTCGTGGTTCAAATATTTCTTGAATATATTTAATTTTAAACATGACTCGAGATATTTCATATAAAGCAGCAGCACTGATAATTACAAGTTTTTTGTTGGACTAGACTGAAATTCAATTTAATATTTCAAGGAGCATTTTACATGCTCTAACACTCCATCAATGTTTACAGATGTTGCATTCTATTAGAAACAATTGTCTAGTCAAAAAACAATATATCAACCAATTATTATTGGCAAAATTTCACCATGCACTTGAAAACAATAAAAATTAATTTTATGATCTCTGAATAAACATATGAATTATGCAGGTACACTTTCAGTAATTATGTCTTTCATTTGAGAGAAGCACAGAGTATTTTTTTTATAATCGATAGTTCAAACTGTGGAGGATTATAAAAAAATATTGTGACTCTTCAGAGCATAATTCAACTAGCATCCAAACATAAACCAAAAAATATTTTCACCTTGCTAGAACTGAACGCACTCTCAATGAGAAAGGTGGACCATCTAAGTCTCTCTCCATCCATATAGATATTCAATCAAGAAAAATAGTAAACTCAATCCCAAAATTAACCGGATACCTTATTTTCTTTACAAATTTCGTGTCTACCACCTTCGAATGCTTCTACATGAGATCAGAGGCCCAATTTCATTTGAAGCGTTGAAAACTGTAGATGGTCACTTACATCCCACTTTTCAATCCGCGTACAAGGCTTCAGGTCTACTCGAAGATGATCGGCATTTGGATTCAGCTCTTGAAGAGGCACCACTTTGTCAAACACCGCATATGATTCGAGAGCTTTTTGTTATCATTTTATTGTTCTGCCTGGTCTCCGACCACCTATGTCTTTGGGAAAATACAAAGAATACCTTTCTGAAGACTTTAAGAAACAACTGGAAAGCAAAGGTGACGTGGATGTAAAGCACTCATCGGACCTAATATTTAACAAATGCCTGTCGGTATTAGAGGATGCCGTATTATCATTAGGCGGCCGTCCTCTTAAAGAGTATGGATTACCTCAGCCAATAACATCAATACATTTTGAAAATAGAGAGTACGTGAAAGAGACCAGTTACGATACAGTGGCCTTAGAAGACGCAGTAAGAACAAAATGAAGCATCCTTGAATGACGAGCAACAGAAAGTTTACAATAAAATTATCACAAGTGTAGATGCAAATGACGGTCGAATATTCTTCTTAGACGCTCCGGGTGGAACTGGTAAAACCTTCTTTATTAATTTACTTTTGGCGAAAGTAAGAAGTACTCACGGCATTGCCCTGGCTGTGGCGTCGTCCGGCATAGCTGCTACAGAATTCGAAGTTGATCAAACTGCTCATGCTACTTTTAAGTTACCACTCAATTTAATCACTGCCGAGACTCCCATTTGCAACATCTCCAAATCCATCGTCCCACACGATTGTGTGGGACGAAATAACGATGGCTCATAAAGGTGGTATTGAAGCATTAAACAGATCACTAAGGGATATAATGGGTAATACAAAATTAATGGGTGGCGTAACAGTTTTGCTGGCCGGAGACTTTCGGCAGACTCTACCAGTGGCGCCAAAAGGAACCAGAGCTGATGAAGTAAAGTCGTGCATTAAGAAATCTAATTTGTGGCCCCAGGTTAATATTCTTAAGCTCTCTAAAAATATGAGAGCACATTTGGGCGGGGATGAGTCTGCTGGTAGATTTGCAGATCTTCTTAAAATCGGTAATGGTGATTTTCCATCGTTTGATGGAATGATAACCACCCCGGAAGAATTGTGCACAGTTGTTACTACGGTTCAAGAATTTCTGTCTAAAGTTTATCCAGACATTCATATACATGACAAGCCTATTGAATGGTTATGTGAGCGTGCCATACTTACTCCGAAGAACGATCAAACAGCAGCTATCAACGATATATTCTGCTCATGTCGTTTGAGGGCGAAGAAAAGGTTTATACTTCGATTGATACTGTGGTTAATACAGATGACGCTACTAATTACCCTGTAGAATTTTTGAATTCATTGAAACCGCCAGGTTTGCTTTTTGATAAGCTTATTCTGCGTGTGCGCACTGCAATTATGTTGTTGCTCAATTTTAAACCACCAAAACTTTGTAACGGTACGAGACTGCAAGTGAAAGCGTTACATCGCAATATAGTGGAAGCCAATATATTTTAGTTTTCCTAAAATTTCCGAAAGTTTTTAGGGTTCAAGTGATCGTTTTGAAGCCATTTTGTAATTTATAATGGATTTGAACGAGGGTTAAATCAAAATTTTAACTTCAATTGCGATGATAATTCAAAATGTAGTCACGCTTTCCCTTTTCCTAGTTTCTTATGCTACTCGTATTGGTTTCTCGTTGGTTATGTGGCTTCTGTTTGGTTACTGTAGCGGAATGAAATTCTACTTCATGAGCTCTGTAGCCAGAGAGCTCAGATTGCTTGTTCGATGACTCACGTGTTTCCAGAAGTGATTTCTCAACAGATGGGCAACAGCAACGACAGGTTTCTTGTTGCTGAAGAGACCGCCCTGTTCGCTGGGGTTGGTGCTTGTGTTATTCTTGTCGAAAGTCTGGAAACTACTGCTGTTTGGATACCAGCTTATTCCAATTTCATACCGACTGCGCCAATGTGTTATGTGCTTTTCACTGAATTTAACTTTTTTTTAAATAAACTTNACATTGAATTACACGAAAGAAAAAAAATTCTTTCGAATCAAATACTTTTACATGAACACTGAATTATACAGAAGATACTTTTTTCTACTCAATTTGTATTCCAATCGAATGTTTTTCCTACCTAATTCGGATGTGTAATTTGTGCGGTACTTTCACCACTGCTTGCAGTATCTATTTTTTTGTTTCTTAGAATAGCATTTATGATTCATACGTGAATACTATCTTTGGGTTCATCCCGTTTGTATTCCTTTGAAACTAAATATATAAATATGTATTTCGTCAGTTGTCTTTATACTACGTTCAGTTTTATTTGTAAAAGTATTTAGTGAAAATCTCACAATGAAATGTTTTTTGAATAGGTGTTTCACCATAGTTGTACCGTTCTGTTTATTGTGAAAAAGTAAAAAGTGTCGAGATCTTGTGATTTGTGCTAATACCAGAAGAGTGGAAGGGAAGAAAAGAAAAGGCAAGCAGGCCTACAATCATTCTCTTTTAGGAACCAAAGGTAAGCTCGACAACATATTCTCGTACTTACTTGATATTTTCGTCTTTTTCACTGATTTTTCGTGTTCTCGATAGATCTGTCACGTTTTTACCCTGGGTTGACCAACATAATTGACTACACTGAATATTCAAACTTGACTTTATTTCACTTTAAATACAACAAACACTTCAACTAAAACTTCAACTATTATCTGAATGTATATCGCCTTACTAAATCACTTCGCGTACCGCACTGTAACGTCCAGTTGACTATTTCGGTATGCTCGTGGCTAGCGTTTAAATGTCGTAATCGAATGCCGTAGAAATCTCGCCGAAATTCCGTCGAAATCGGTAGCATTATTCTCGCTGCTTCTAGAGTGGTAGGGAACATCGTACATTCGCGCGCTCTTAGCTACGTCACCGTTGGTTTATGTCTACCAGTGGCGGCCAGCGTTATTTTCTTTCAGGCATGATTTACAACAGATCTTTGAAGTGTTTTACTGTTTTCATCACAATGTACGAAAATTGTTTTGTTCCCCTTTAAACAAGTACAACGGGAAAACCCCTGATACATTGTTTAAGACTGCCAAAGGATGAAATAAAACGAAGAAGTGGTTGAATTCCCATCCATAAAATATATACACAATGTCAACAAATGCATATTTAAGCTAACTGAAAAGTTTAATTGAAGTGAAAGCTGTACTTTTTGAAATATTAAAAAATTTAATACATTTTCAGCTTGGTTTCATGTAGACCCGTCGCATTCTAAACAAGAGAAGCAGATAGCAGTTGAAAATAAAGTTATGCAAGACAAAATTTTTCTTGTAGATGAAGAATTAAACACAAATCACATACATTAACATCGGAAGTTAACACTGATGATGGTACTTCCGGCACCTTTTACAAAATCGTGATTTAACGCCATTAAAATATTCAGGTTTGAAAACATTTGCCACTTCTGAACAGTTTAAAATATTCAATTCTAAATTTTGGTTATGAGATGTATTATTAGTAGATATTGATTGCGAAATGAAATAAGATCGATTTGAAAAGGGGTTTGTAGAAATACTATTTTTTTTGGGTTGGAAATATAATTGTCTGAGTCACTTAAAGACAATGATTGAAAAATATTTTCGAGCGATATAAAATTAGAGTACTCACAATGAAAGCAAGAATTTGACCATAGCTATCTTAACCCTGGTGTAGTAATTTTTTTCACCAAGTGTTTCTTCCTTGCAGAAGGGGACGATGAAGTTCCTCTTCTCGAAAACAGCTTCGGTACTAAGTTTTCTGCAGGTGTAAACTAGCTTTTCAAAAATATTTTCATTGTTACAAAATTCAAAAAAATATAGAAATACATAATATGAGATTATATGTATTACACTTGAAAGTATGAAATCTGACTGACTCAGAATGCGAAGCTTCGAAGAAGGCTGCTCCTGTGAGAACTGTCTTGTCTTGTGGAATTGGCTGCGGTGGTAGTGCGCTAGACTCAGAAGGTCGTGGGTTCGATTCCCGCCTCGACCAGATATTTTTCTCGAGAGAATTCATCTGGTTGAAGCTGGGATGATTCTGCAACCGTGTTAGGAATCACACGTTAAAAGGTAAGACCTCGTTAGTCCTTAACTCGGACAAGTTTCTT